TAAAACCTAACCAGTCACTCTTCAATATCCTTTCGTACTCATACAAGTGCCCCCTCCCCCAGGAATCTATCTCTGATCCAATTTTGTCTTCATTAAGAACGACCTTTCTGATGGGATCTGCTCTCAACTTGTTATCAGTTTTGATGACAGACTCATTTACTCCTGCTTCGATATCATGTTTGATCAACCCAATAATGCCAAAACGACCTTCGGTAAGTTGTTAACTGAAGCAAAGGATGACTTGTTCATTTTAACAATTTTTTAATTAAAAAAAAAAAAACTTTTATTAATCATTTTGAAAATTTTTTCTTCCTTCCATTAGTTTTTTGATGCTAACCTCTAGCACAGTCTTGTTGCGAAATTCGGGTTAACGTTCTGGGCGTTCCATTGCTAGGTCAGCAGAAAGTTGGTTCACTGTGTCGTGCTAGAGAGCATCTTTCTCACCAGAATCTATTACACATATTCATAAGTTTACCATTCGTCCATACTTAGAATATTGTTGCCACATATCGTCCAGTTCTCCTGCTATACATCTAGAGATCCTTGATAACATCCAAAGAAGAATCAGTAATATTATTGATCCTGATCTGGCATCTCGGCTTCAGTTACTTTCCGTAATGTCACCATTCTGTGCCTCTTCTGTATATTTTTCATGGCAATTGTTTGCATGAGTTCTTCACTTTGGGACCAAAACTTTATGAATTTAAGTGCAGTACTTGAATTTACAGTTGAATTGGCGAGATGTAATCGTAAGTTCTTTGCCAACAGATTCTTTTCTCGCACTCCTCACCTGTGGAACTCTTTTCCGACTCCACGCTTTCCTGTCAGTTTTAAGCTGCAAAAATTTAAATGCAATGTCGATTGATGCTATTACTCTTTTTTCGTTCTCATCCTTTGTAAAGTTTTTGCTTGGATGTTCGTAATTAATAATATATATATATATATATATATATATATATATATTATAAATATATAAATTATGAAGGTCGTTAGTATTTAATCCAACCTGGATCCGGATTTTTTATAAAATCTTAAAAACTGATCCACAAAAAGTGCTCAATCATTTATTTCCGTCGAGATAAAAAATTAATACGCAAAAAATAGTTAAAATTCTTCTCTTGCTGATAGATATATATTTTTTTTTTTTTACTCCTGTGGCAGTGGAGACTTCTGGGGTTATTGGCCCTCGTTTGATGGCGTTCCTTCGGAGGATTGGCCCGATGGAGTCTCGATTAAGGGACGAGCCTCGTGAAACGGAGTGGCTCTTGCAGCGTGTCTCACTGGCGATGGTTCGAGGTAATGCTTTCTCCATCATGGCGGCTGGCAGAGGATAGTAAAAAAAATAAAAAATAAAAAAAAACATTTTGTTTATAGTTTACTTTGTTCAAACTTTTTTCAATAAATTATGTCTTCTTTTCAGTTAACCTGACGAATATTTATGAGCGTCTCTTAAATTAAAAAAATTTAAAAAACTAAAAATAAAACAACTCATGGGGAATAAGCTTATTTCGACAGACGAAAATAAAAATTTCTCAATCTTCAAAAACGGTACGCTCACTTGACTTTTTATATATATATATATATATATATATATATATATATATATATATATATATATATTTATATAAAATGTGTTAAAAGCAAAATTATAGTAACAAAATATTGTACTACTGGTTTACGAACATACAGAAATTGTATTACTATTAAACAAGTAAGATGATGTAAAGATTTTGAATATAAAAAATTCTGGTGTCTTCATTTTTTTTCCATACAAATCCGGAATTTATTTAATTGAATAAGTATAAACAAACACTATATAATATATACTATTTTATACATAATATTGAATATGTTAAAATATATTCAACTTTCTAACAAGAAAAGTTGATTTTAAAAATTGTTGATTTATTTAAGATGGCATGATCTATTATGACATGTTTTTAATTTGTATTTATTTTCCGTTTTTCTAGTTAAATTCTTCGCCTATATTGCATATGATCCATTATTGATCATAAATAGGTTTAATAAAAATTAGAAATATATATAAATGTATATATATATGTGTGTGTGTGTGTGTCATTTTTAGGGAATGATTAAAAATTAGCTAAAAATTGTTTATTTTTCACAGATAAAAAATGTTGTCCAGAGATAAATCTATTAAATTTTTCGAAGAAATGTATTTTTTTCTATCTATGATATATATCTATCTATATATATATATATATGATGATGATGATATTTAAATCCCGTCGAGTTTTTAAATTTTCCGACGACCACGAACTAATTATCTGCATGTCTATGACGGGCATGACTTTTTGAGACGGGATCGAGAATTTAAAAAAGACCACAAAGATTGCAGCAGGAGAAATGTATTGTATCCAAGTAATGCAAAAACACTGTTAGATGTCTTTTTTGCTTTTCGTTTCTGTAGGCAAACTGATGGAATTTCTCCGAATATGACCTATATCAATGCTTTTACATTTTTTTCAAATGCTAAATTTAATTATATATATATATATATATATATATATATATATATATTACACTTTTTCTTAATATTTTCCAGGAATTGAAAATGATTATTTGTCTATGTTCCGGTTTATCATGGCATGACCTGATAATGTTTTCACCTAATTCCAACCTAAAAGCTAATTTTCGATTTATAAGTAGATCTGGCAATTTAATTGGTTCATCAAGACAACCCAGAAGTCTATTTTTTAATTTTTTTTATATTTTTCCATTTCATTTTTGAAGAATAAAAGGTAAAAATTTTTTTAAAATTTGCTTAAAAATCATTTGATCTCCAGAAACTGACATCTTTTGGAGAATAAGGCATATTTTTTCATTTGAAGAACATTCTGTTTTATTGATTTCAAGTCAAGTATTTTTATTATAATTTCATTCATGAAACATGATAATAATTTAAAATAAAAATGATTTTATATTGATCTTATTGTATTGAATACTATTTTGCAAAAAGTAAATCTACAAACTGTTTAATTTAATATTTAGGATTTATATTTATATATATATATATATATATATATATATAAATATATATATAAATATCTGTCTTGTGTGTGAATTATGGTTTGGTATTTTTTAATTGAATATTTACGACCAATGTTATTTAATCATTTTTGATATGAACAGTATCACAAACAAATGGAATAATACATTTATATATATATATATATATATATATATATATATATATATATCAAGATATTGATATTTTTGGTTTTTTTTTTTCAAAACAGTGATCAATGTAAATTTATAGAAAATAAATAAAAATTTTAATTTATAATATATATATATATATATATATATATATATATATATATATATATATTTAATTTAAAAAAACGAAGAGAATTGGATTTTGATCCTAATATGCTATAATTATTTATATCAAAAAACTTTTATTTTCCCTTTCTTTTTTTTAATTTTACAAATTTTTTTTTTTTTTTTACCTTTTTTTTTTTTTTCTTTTTACCTTTTTCTTTTCTTTTTAAAGATCTAGTCTGAATAAATAATTACATTTTCTCATCCCAGAAATAAAAAGGATCATTCAATAAATAAGGTGAATTTTTCGGTATGACTTCTGATACAGATAGAAATTATCTTTTTTTTTCAACGTAGTCTCCCAGCACTGTCACATTTTTTTCCCATCTGTGCATGGCTTCCGTATTCCCTTTTTTAAAAATCTTTTTGGACTGATGTGAATTAAATTCGTCGCTAACAATTTTGACTTCATCGAGAACTTATAAACCAAATCTAGATCCTCGTGATATTTTTCAAGGGACCAATATTAATGAAAGTTTTTAGAGGGGGCAAGGTTGGGCTATAAGGGGGATCAAAGAGAGAGAAATAATTTGAAAAACAATCAATATCAAGAAAAAATGTTTTGAACTGTTAAGGAATACAGTCCTCTTAATGGAATGAATGCTGGACAATTTGACATAGATGAAAGAAGTCTATATAATGTAAATGTAGTTCTACAGAAGGATCCAGAGAATATCATGAATCGTATATATGAGCAACAACGACGTTTTACAGAAAAGGGAAACAAAAAGGTAATTTATAATTAACATCGGAGAGGAGCATTTCATACATTATTCATATATTGTAAAGAATTTTTGGTATCTTTGAAAATTTGAAATTCACAAGTACATAATGAAGGCAAGCGGAACAGAGAAAAAACAGTGCTATTTACTTTTTTGTCAGCTATTGAAAGGGGGATTTAGGATAGACAACAAAAGATTTATTTATTTAAGAACTGGAAAGAACAGGAAAATGTGGACAAATATATCCATTTTGACTTATTTCTTCCTATCTATGAAAGAAATGACAAAGTACCAAAGTTTTGAGAATTATTCTCGTATTTCAATATTGTTATATTTTCCGCTAGTTAATCAATTTTTTCTTCTTTTTTTATCATCGACATTTGTGATTGCTTTGCAGAATAAGGCGTCTTCTAATCAATTCTCTTCGATTTACGATCTAAGTGAAGGCCTTGATCGTTCATTCGTCATCGACTTTAGTTTCGCTGTATATTTGAAATGTCTAATTGGAGTCATTCTTTTTATTCACCGCTCTTGTCTGTTATTTATATAGAAGAAGACATATATAGGGACTCACAAATGGTAAGTTTGACATTCTCTCCATATGTACATGTCTTTTAGATATTTCTATCCGAAGCCTGTTTATTGCAATATCTATTCAAACTATTAATATAAAAAAAAAAAAATAAAGAAATCTATCTATCTATCTATCTATGCCTGTTTATAGCTATTTTAATCCGTGTTTGTCTTTTAATATTATAAAAAAATACATATCTATCTTGGAAGAATAGCTATGCCTCGAATAAAATGTATTTAAAATTGTGATTATATATATATATAATATATATATATATATATATATATATATATATATATATATATATAATTGTTGAAATCCAAAAAATTTTATACAAGTGGAAAAGTGAGATGTGAATTTGTAAGTCGTAAACAGTCATTTCGTGCGAGATCGATTAGATAGATAGATAGATAGATATTACAATAAAACGTCTTAACATGATAAGAATATTTCGTTTATTTTCTGTTAATTTTTCAGTTTGTAGAATGAGCAAAGGAAAATCGATCAATTTGAAAAAGTTTCATTTAAAAAAAAACATTGTTTATTAAAATTTTATGATTGAATAAAACCAATGCTCAATGTCGGTTTTTTCTTTAAGACCATCTAAAGTCAAACACAGAAGTAAATTTATTTACTAACCAGCTACAAATTCACGCGATAATAGTTAATATGGTTGATTTAAAAGCGATCATTTCAAATGAAGTTAAGTGTCTCCATTACGATAGTGAATGTTGAACAATTTTCCTCCACGGATGAGGAAAGAAACTCGAGGCAGCAGATATGTGTTTCTACAGAAGAATGCTGAGAATTCCATGAACGTAAGCACCAACGAACTCTTAAAGGAAATAGCAACATAAAGATCGCTTGTACTCAAAACCAAGAAAGGACAGTTGAAATTCCCTTGGGTCACATTTGAGGAAGAATGGAGTTTTGTATTCTGAGGTACTCACTGGACATTACGTCTACAATAATAGATACTCGAAGGTAGTCAAAATATTGTCGGACGAGTTTGTGTGAATGGATTGTTCTTCACGATGACGGTCGTCTTTGAGTATAGAATCCAGAGGTTAGCAGTGAATATTTCGAAGACAGTAGGAAAGCGTTGTTCAGGTTAGCAGTGGATATTTTGGTAAAAGTAGCAGAGCGTAGTTCGTCCTTCTGTTCCTCTTCGCCTGACAAGCTGGCACTGGACATTCGGATAGAGTAAACAAAATGGCCGCCTTTATACACGACGGATTGAATGTTCTACGTCTCCTGATTGGTTAACCTTCTATTGGTAGACTATAAAGTGAGTCAAGTCATTTGGGCTAGCTCACTAGTACATATATATATATATATATATATACACAAAAAACTGCAACATGGATGACGGAATTTAACAAAGGAAATTTGGAAAAATTGTTCTAAAAAGACTCATTTTAAAATAAAGAGATAAAGTTGTGGAGGGCTATGATCATATAGAAAAACTTAAAACTAAACTTTCGCGATATCGCCTAAGAATGTAGACACAAAAAAAAACATATTTCCTTCATCGATTTCTCGACCTGTCTAATTATTTTTTTCTCGATGTTGTTCAGCTCGTCTTTGCCAGACTCTGGACTAATCTGCATAATGGTTTACCCCGTCAGTTGACTAGGGATGCCTAATAATCATAAGTCTGACACAAGACCACATGAAGGACAGCGCCTATGGAAGAAATATTTTTTTTCTTTTTATAAAAAGGAAAAAAAAACAGACTTCCTTATTAAACAGTGTTTTATGCCAAACAGCTTCTAGCGATTTGTAATTAATTATCGATCGATCTGTTTACGAATTTAACGATTATTGATTTGTATGTCTGTCGAAATCGATTCGTATCGATGGAAGTACCAACCAATACAATGTCCTGTTTCGGCCTACCCATCACCGTCATTGAATAAAATGAACATTCCTACGTACAACCATGGGATTTTATGTATCTTATGATCGATCGAATGGTATGAACAGATAGATAGATAGATAGATAGATAGATAGATAGATAATGTACAGAAGAAAATAAATAGATAGATGTTATGGGATCTTACCCATAATAATAATAATGGACTATTCCATACTTAATAAATACTGCACCTCAGGAGTAGGCAATGAGTCAGTCAGTAGTTCAAGTGGAGTCAGTAGTTCAAGTCGAGTCAGAGGCAGTACGAAACAGAGTCGCGTTCAGACAATTACTGCAAGACATTGGAATAGGGATACTGGTCGAGACTACATTGTTCTCCCTACTAAACCTGATTGTTCATACTAACACTTCTACTTCTCTGTATATATTCCTGTTTGTAATATATCTGTCTTATTCCATATCCGTATTCGAGTTCTTCTTTATTGGTTCTACCTTGCACTATCACCCGGGGTACAAGGAACCGGACCATAACAATAGATAGACAGATAGATAGGGGCAGAAGAGAAATATAGTTAAAAGACTGTTTGATAAAAAAACCTATATCTGATAAATAGATGGAATAGATAGATAGAAGAACCAAAGTTTTATGATAGTTTAAAAACTAGATAATGCATGGATAAATGGTGATAAGACAAATACTTGTGATATATAGTATAAATAAATAAGATGAAAAAAATTAGATGCAGATTTTTTGTAATATTTTGGTAAGAAAAGTGTTGAAACTTGACTAAACAGATAGATAGATAGATAATAGATAGATAGATAGGATGTGTTTAAGTCTTTGAATTGATAGATAGAATCTATAAAATAGATAATAGATTTAGAAACAAAATGTGATTTGTTGAAACTTTTTTTAATGCATGGAATAATAATGCTAAAAAAATTTAATAGAGTCTTTTGTATTAAACAAAGAAAGTGTATGGAATATTTCCATATTCTTTTATATAATTAAGAAAGCTAGGAACTATGCAAATTATTTGGATAACAACCAACAGAAAGATAGATAGATAGATAGATAGATAGATAGATAGATGTGAAGAGACTGTGATAGATAGATAGATAGATAGATGTAAAGAGACTATGATAGTGTTGAAACTTGACTAATGCATGGAATAATAATGCAACACAAAAGGTACTTAGAACAAAATGTATTGAAACAAGAAAGTGTACACAATATTTACATATAGTCTTTCGTATATTCCTGGTAAGACCGTTCCACTATACAAATTAGGTGGATCCTACCACAACAGATAGATAGATAGATAGATAGATAGATAGATAGATGTGAAGAGTCTGTGATAGATAGATAGATAGATAGATAGATAGATAGATAGATAGATGTGAAGAGACTATGATAGTGTTGAAACTTGACTAATGCATGGAATAATAATGCTACACAAAAGGTACTTAGAACAAAATGTATTGAAACAAGAAAGTGTACACAATATTTACATATAGTCTTTTGTATATTCCTGGTAAGACCGTTCCACTATGCAAATTAGGTGGATCCTACCACAACAGATAGATAGATAGATAGATAGATAGATAGATAGATAGATAGATAGATAGAATGAAATAGATAGATAGTTGTGAAGAGACTGTGATAGATAGATAGATAGATAGATAGATAGATAGATAGATAGATAGATAATGTACAGTATTTTATAGATAGATATGAACAGACTGAGAGAGATAAATAAATAGGTACAACCGAAGATAGATAAATAGATAGATAGAAAGTACGGTTTATTTTTCAAACCAGTCCTTCTTGCGTTAGTTCTTCCATCGTGCTTGGATCCCATTGGTGAAAAAACTTCCATTCTGTTCTCATCAACAGAATTTTTTTTTCATATTTCGGATCAGATGATAGCCAGATGGAGCCAAATCAAAAGAATAGTTCAAGGCTAGAGTCACACATAGCAGCCAGTGAAGCCACGGATTTGTGTGCTGGGGCATTCTCCCAATGAAACAGGATCCCTTTCCTCAATTTTCCTCGCCTTTTGTAACTACCTCAGCAAGTTGGCATCGTACCCTGCATAGATGGTGTGACCCTTTTGAACATTGTCAATAAGTACAGTGCCTTTTGCATCACACAAAACTGAGGTCATCACCTTACCTGTAGATGAAACGGTCTTGGCCTACTTTTGGAGCAGTTGAGGAGGTGTTTACACTATGGATTATCTCTTTGTCTCTGGATCAATGATGAAGCTAACACTCATCCTGGATGGGAAAAACGTTTAATGAAACTTGCTGGATCTGTCAGATCACATCACGGGAAAATCTGTAATGTTCCCGTGTTCTGCATGTGGAACTCACTTCCGTTTACTTGCTTTTCTTATAAATACAATCTTCAGAATTTAAATGCAACATTAGTCGCCATCTTCTGTCTTCTTGAATCCCGTTCATCTTTTATCCTTTCCTCATTCCTACCTATTCTCAGTCTTCTCTTTCACTTTCACTTTCACTTTCACTCTATGTAATCCCCTGCGTACTAGTGGCATCCCAGCCTTGCTTGGGGTGAAATGATTTAAAAAAAAAGGAAAAAAGGAAAGTGCTACTTTTTAAGTTTTCTTTGAGTTGTCAGATGTCAGTTTATCTAAACAGTCATTAATAACAATTGAAATTAATGCTTGCAAGAATTTACAGCTCTGTAATTACTAGTCAACCAACGAATTTTGTAACCAGCCATCGTGGTTAAAATTAAGATTTCAAATGGCGATTCTTTGAGCAGTCAAACAGTTTCATCTCCAGCCTAGGGATATCTAAAATTGCCCTGAGATGAGAGTCGAAACTGGGAAGAGAAATGGAGTTAAACACAAAACGGTCAGTGATGACGTAGCTGAAATTGATTTAACGAAATACGTGGTACCTCGAAAGACGGACCAGAAAAGAAAAAAAAAACAGGAACATTTTTTGTACTATTGTTCACCCAGTGCAAGGCCCAAGAACCACTCAATATAGAGTTATTGCATCAAGGACTTTTATGGAAGTTAGAGAAGATAGGAATTGCATTTTATGGGGATAGGTATGACAGGTAAGTTTTTGAAGAGGTCAAAATTGTAACTGTCGTGAACGCATCCTCTTGTGAATTCTTTTCCACAAGGTGACAATTACTGGGAAAGAAGCAGTCTTATTGGAATTTAATCCTTATCAAAGAAATACAAAGCTGAATGAGAATAGGTTGACGCAGTGTGTGTCGTTTAGCATGCCATAGCTTCGAAGTATTGTAGTCCATCTGAACCTTTGCTTTGGAAATAGCGATAAGTTTGCGATGATCAATCTACGCGAAAGTGATTGAAGGGTAGAAATTTATTCATCGCCTACAAGCCGCATAGCCGCCTTTTTTTTAACTGTAGGAGCAGAGAGAGAAGTTGTGGACAGTTACTGCCATATGTGGCAGCAACACCATTTTGTGTCTAATCTGACTTTTGTAACGATATACCATAGGAGTCAATGTCCTTTTTTCCATGTCTAGTTGAGAGGAATTAATAATAAAGCATCATTCATTGCAAGACCATATTTAAATATTTTTTCTTGGAGGCAACTGGTCGTCATGCTTTCGTGTGTGGGCTGTGATTAGGGACGATTTGGTTTCACGTTTTAAGTGTCCACTGCGCAAGCAAAAATTTGCCTAAGTTATATCTCTATACGAAACGAGGGCAAAGAGTTATTATTTTTTTGTTTGCTTGTTTTATTTTTGTTGTGACCAAGTAAATGGTTAAAGAAATGAAAAAAAAACAAAACAAGCGCTACAGATATATCATTTAACAAACAGTAAGTACAACAAAAGAGTATTACAGCTCTAGTAAGTGTGTCGGTTGACCCACCGTTCAATCTATTCGACTGTTAATATTTAGCAGCTCCGCTCTAACGATGGTAGATGTAACACAAGAACGAGTTTAACGTGGGTCATCCGAGCCCGTAGGCTCGGCTAACAAATCCTCGTAGAACCCGCATAAAAGCTTAAACCCACATAAACCCCAACCCCGGAGGAGCCCCCTGCCCTTCGGCAGAGCCTCGCTCGGGTTACTCTCCGCCCAAAGTCAGAGAGTTCGACAGCAGCGGCGAAAAGTCACAAACTCGACTATTCGACTGTTATATTTAACAGCTCCCCCCACGAGGGATGTATCTGGCACAAAGCTGAGTTTACTGTGGGTTGTCCGAGCCCGTAGGCACGGCCAAAAATATCCCCTTAGAACCCACATAAACGAGTTCAGGGTCTCTCTACCTCCCCGGACGAAACTTTGCCCTTCGGCAAAGCCTCGTAACGGGTTACTCTCTGCTCAAGGCAGAGAGTTCGACAGATGAACAATCTATGCGACTGTTATATTTAACAGTCCCCGCCCACAAGGAATGTATGTGGCACAAGGCAGAATTTAACGTGGGTTTCTCCGAGCCCGTAGGCTCGGCCAAAAATATTCCCTTTGAACCCGCCTAAACGGGTTCAGGGGCTGTCTACCTCCCCGGACGAAACTTTCCCCTGCGGCAAAGGTTTGTCCAAGTTCCTCTCTGCCGAGGCAGAGACTTTGACAGTTGATCAATCTGTGCGACTGTTCCCCCAAGACCTTCTCTCCTACTAATCTTATAGTAGGCGGAAGAGTCCAACATAGACTCTTTAGAGGGAGGACACCACAACAGTTTTTTTTTTGTATACATTCTGAGCCGGCTTGCAATGTTAAGTGCATATGTAAGTCTATTTTTGTATTTCTATCTGAAAAGTAAGTGATGCCCTTTTGACATAGGTGTTATTGTCTCAGAAACTGGAATCGGTGGTCATGTTTCCAGTTCCGGCCAAGTAACTGGGGAAAGCTAGTTTTCTTTCCATTCAGTGCTCGGGGTTAGATAGCACGGCAGATCTGTTTCCTAGACTCGACTAGCAACTCGTCTAGATGTTCAACTTTGAATTTGAAACCGCTTTTGCGTAGAGCCTTACAATCGCACTCCATAAAAAAATCTACTTCCTACGGTAACAAAAGGTAGCAACCTTGCGTGGTGAGGCTGTGGCGCAATTGTGGTGAGGCTGTGGCATTATACTCCTTAGAAAAGTATAACGGCATCAACGCTTAAGATCAGGATACAAATCACTAGCAATTATTTTTTTTTCTATCTCAATTTCATAACATTTTTGTCTCTCTTCTCTCTGTTTTTTTCTTCCCAGAATTCCATACTTTCCCTAATCTCTTCCTGCCCCATCCCTTCACACTATTTGTCATTTACCATTATTTATTCTTTTAATGACTCTCGTCGGTGGCAAATAATTTCGCTCTGCGAGTCTCTCGTTCGATATTGTCTTCTTCGAATACAATGTACACCTGGAGACCTACTTGGCAACTCGTAACGGCGCCCCGACGTGTGGCGACATCGATGTTTAAGTGGCAAGAAGATAAAACACCAGAGAAAAACGAACGAGCCGTAATGAAATCGTGGAAGCAGATGTACGGACATCATAGAACCGATTGAATTGAATGAAAGGAAAAAAAAAAAGAAAGCAATGAAAAAAAAAGGAAGGAAAAAAAAAAGGTTTATCCATTTATCAAGAAAAGAATGCGAAGAAGATAAAAAAACTACTTCTTATATATATATATATATATATATATATATATATATATATATATATATATATATATATAAGTAGATTACTAAAGTTAATGATATAAAAAAATTAAAAATTACAGTTTTGTATGAATGATTCATTGTAATATAAATTGAACTGCACCACATATATGATATATACATATTGGTATCTATAAAAGAATGTATAAACATAAAAATATCTTAAAATAATTGTCGGACGTTGTCCATTTAATAATGTGTGACGTCATTTGTTTACATTTGGATACGCCATGAGCAGATATGAATGTACGTGAGAGAATCATGGAAGATTGTAGTTTAAAGACAGTAAAATCGACCTTGCTAACCGAACGCTCCTCTGTGGCCAAATCGGTTAAACGCACGTCAGTCTATATGACGGTTCCGTATAGGATACAGGTTCGAATCCTGTCGGAGGGCGAATATTTTCGAAGAGAATTTCTCGTACATTCAGGCCGGTAAATGTTGTTTATAATAAACAAACATTTGTTTATTATAAAAAAAGTATAAACATAAAAAATTTGTATCTATACAAAGAATGTATAAACATAAAAAAGTCTTAAAAAAATATATATATATATGGGTTTACAATTTACATTATTCGGACTATTGTCCACATCCTTGTTGCCATAATTATCACAACGTTTCGGCCGTTGTACGCTCCGGTCCTCTTCAAGTGTTGGAAATGTCGAACTGAACCCATTATTTCGCTCGCTGGGGTAGACTGTTCAATGTCTAATGAATGTCAGTTATCAGTTATTTCCTGTTAATTCCCCTCTCCAAGTTCTCCACTGCCTTAACCAGGTATTGAACTCACTCTCTTTGGGTCCTGTCACTGGATCTAACTAACGCCTTTATCCACTGCGCTGTGTGTCCCTGACGACATCTGTGTATAATTATGTCAACAAAGATGAGAACAATAATGCGAATAATGTAAATAGTATACATAACACCCCATCTTAGAAATATAGAGAGATAATGTAGTGGAGTTATTATCAGTATTCGGGAATGCATCATAGAATCGCATCATAAATTTACGACCTGCTATTCTAAAATCCGGCTATTAATCTAGTATATATATATATATATATATATATATATATATATATATTTACGAGTTCTGATCAGAAGTTATTGAGACTGGTACAACAGAGAGAAAACTACAACTCATATGAATTCAGCGCTTAATCTCCTTCGAAATTACACAGTAAGTACAACAGAAGATTTTTTCACGACTAGTGACTGTGTGTCGGTTGACCCAGCGTTCAATCTGTTCAACTGTTAATGTTTAACAGCCACCCCAAATATATTCCCTTAGAACCCGCATAAACGGGTTCAGGGCCTGTCTACCGCCCCGGACGAAACTTTGCCCTTTGGCAAAGCATCGTCCGGGTTCCTTTCTCCTCGAGGCAGAGAGTTCGAAAGATGAACAATCTATGCGTCTGTAAAATAAAAGACCTTCTCTCCTACTAATCTTATAGTAGGCGGAAGAGTCCAACATAGACACTTTAGAGGAAAGACACCACAACAGTCTTTTTTTTTTTTTTTTTTTTTTTTTTTTTTTTTTTTTGTATACATTCTGAACCGGTTTGAATGTTAAATGCACGGTTGACATATTGTCTCAGAAACTGGAATCGGTGTTCTGATTTTCAATTCCGGCCAAATATCTTGGGAAAGCTAATTTTCTTCCCACTCACTGCTCGGGGTTAGATAGCAGGGCAGAACTTTTCCCTAGCCTTGACTAGCAACCTTCTGAAGACATACTTTATGCAGCCATGTTTTTCATTGAAACCATTTCTGGGACTTTCTGGGGTTTTTTTTGTGGGGGAGGGGGGGGATAGCAAGCAACTACCTCGTCGCATTCGCAGGGAGATTTACTCGACGTTTTAAGAACTTGTTCCTTTTAATTGCGTCCTTTTCTGCCGAACAGCATTCCCAAAACACCGCAACATTTCACGTTAGTTCTCTTTGTTTACAGCCTGACAATATGGAATAAACTTATGATGATCAATACCTTTAAATTTGAAGATAACTCTCATCAATGTCTTCATATTCAACGTTCGTTTCTTTCTTCGGTCTCGGAGGGTGTGAGAAACCTTAGTTTGTCTGACAAGGTGGAATAAACTCATGATGAACAATGCCCTTAAATCTGAAGAGGACTCTCAACAATATCTTCATATTCTTCGTTCGTTTCTGTTTTCAGTCTAGAATAGTGTGCGAACCTTCGCTTTGGGGTTCATAGGGATAGACATATTATTCATCACTGTTACGATCGTTTTTCCAAAGTTTTCTCTTGTGTGATGAGACGACCACACTCTACACACTTTCTTTCTAGACACTGCTATGAACAACGGAAGCGAGTGAGTACGTTATATCTTAATATGTATGCGAGACAAAGTTCAATGTAAATGTGTGCCAAGCTCTGTACATAAACTCCCTTATCACGGGAACATATTTTTTGGTTTGGTTTGGTTTGTTGAGTATTACGGCATATCAACCTTCAATGTGTCATTTAATGCCTACAATTTTTCTTTTTCCCTGGTAATATTTTGTTTTGTCAAAAATCTATTTCTGGTAATACTTTTTATCCTCAAAAATTTATAGCTGGTAATATTGTGTTAAAACATGTATTGCTGGTAATATTTTATTTTTGAGAAATTTATTGCTGGTAATAGTTTTAATTTTATTTCTGGTAACAATTCTTTTACATATCTGGTATTAAAACCCATTTTTACACTTTTATAATGCTTTTTACGTCAATTTCGAGGTTAACTATTTGCCAGCAATTAAGAGGTGGTGCCACGTTCCTCAAAACCTCCTGATCAGAGGCCTTGCTGTTGAACGTAGTTTATCGTCTTACCCAGGACGCTGATGTAGTGTCAATTTCGGGGTTAACTATTTGCTCAAGCTGGGACCCTAAAGGTTTATATATGGGTCAGGGTGGACCTCCAATTTACTAGCAATTAAGAGGTGGTTCCACGCTCCTCAAAACCGCCTGATCAGAGGCCTTGCTGTTGGTGTGCTTATTGTCTTACCCAGAACGCGGATGTCAGTTTATTTCTCACCCAGGAAGCGGATGTAGTTTATCGTCTTACCCAGGACGCGGATGTGTTTTATCGTCTTACCCAGGATGCGGATACTTTTGGAACAGATCTCGTATATAATATACGGCAAAGGTATATCAACTTAATCTAGTCTTGGCTTTTAAATCGAAAATTGCATCCGGAGAAACACCAAATGACCGACTTCCATCACTTTAATTCAATACGTTTTTTATTCCACTTTCTCTGATCCTAAATCTGTCACAAATGAAAAAAAAAAAAGAATTGGCCGATGCGTGTGATGTTTGAGAGACAAGTGACTTTGCTGCTGTTATTCTAAATCAATATGGCGAATATGCCAGAATTTTCTGGATTCTTTTCGAATTTCGGTATGAAACAAATAATATAATTGGGTTGGATGAAACGGAGTGGAAAATGGCATACGTCAGAGCCGAATAAGAGTCAAGGCAGAAAGACATACGGATTAAATAAAACAAATATAATAAAAATGAACTTAAGATTATGGCGAATGACAGTGGGGAAAGAAAAGAAGACAAAGGTTGAAAATAAGTGACAGGCTTCGATTATGTCTCTTCCATTTGAAATGAACCCATTAAAGCTGAAATTAATCTCATTCTGTTAATATCTTTCTACATAAACCTGTTAATATCTATCCATCTATCAATCTGTATATCTCATGTTGTTATTATCTCTCTCTCTCTCTCTCTCTCTCTCTCTCTCTCTCTCTGTATATCCATCTCATTCTGTTAATATATATCTCCTTCTGTTAATATATATATATATCTATATATCTAAATAATTATGTAAATATCTATGTAATTCTGTTCATATCTATTTATTTATCTACCTATATAAGTATATTAATATCTATCTTCTTTTGTTAATATCTATCTTCATTTGTTAATATCTATCTATCTATATATACTATTGTTTTAATACATTTTTTATGTTCATACGTTCTTTTTATAGATACAAATATTTAAGTAAATACTATGTTTATAATAAACAGTATTAACGATATTTACGGGCGTGAATGTCCGAGAAATTTTCATAGCAAATATTCGTCCTCCGACAGGAATCGAACCTGCATTTTTTTGAATTCATTTGAAGCGGGACAATAATAATAATAATAATAATAATAATAATAAAACGTATGTATATTTCATTTAATCCACACGCCAATATATTTCCATTACACTTTTTTAGATTTTGAGTTACATGCACAAGGCAATCTCCACCCAACACATGAAGATCGCGTTGGGCATGAAATTCTAAATCGTGTTACCGATGAGGGATAATATCTGTCTATATTTCTGAGATGAGGTATTATGTACACTATTTACATTATTCTGACTATTGTCATCATCTTTGTCGCCATATTTATCCGATCCTTCAGTATCTGTCTATATTTCTGAGATGAGGTATTATGTAGACTATTTACATTATTCGGACTATTGTCCTCATCTTTGTCGCCATATTTATCCGATCCTTCAGTATCTGTCTATATTTCTGAGATGAGGTATTATGTACACTATTTACATTATTCAGACTATTGTCCTCATCTTTGTTGCCATATTTATCCGATCCTTCAGTATCTGTCTATATTTCTGAGATGAGGTATTATGTACACTATTTACATTATTCAGACTATTGTCCTCATCTTTGTTGCCATATTTATCCGATCCTTCAGTATCTGTCTATATTTCTGAGATGAGATAATATTATATGTATTTATTTACATTATTCGGACTATTGTCCTCATCTTTGTTGCCATATATATCCGTTACTTCAGTATCTGTCTATATTTCTGAGATTTTTTTATACAAATATATATGTATGTGTATGTATGTATGTATGTATATATATTTCTATATTTTAGATATATGATTGCATATGTATGTGTATATTTATTCACGAATATATATATATATATATATATATATATATATATATATATATATATATATATATATTTACAGAAACACACACACACACGCAGTTATAAATTTAATTTTATTTTATATATATATATATATATATATATATATATATATACATATATAATGCGTCATAATAATTTTCTCATATGGACTTCTCGTTTCACTTTTTGAAATGTAAAATCGAATGCGCCGGTGTGGGCGCGCATGCGTTCAGGCGCGGATCGATACGAGCGTTGTTTGCTAGTGAATAGGATGTAACATGTTTCCCACTTGATATTTGACGGATATGGAGTGATAGCAGAGGACGTTTGACGTTGCCACGGCGACGTCGTGTGTCACCATCAATCAATGCCGACGGATGGTGGCAGGCTAAAATAAGAAGAATTATAAATTTTGAGAAAAGGGGATGGTGTATTAGAATAAACAAAGGTATGATAGCTTACCGAGGAAAGCGGACCACATGGAGGCAGAGAAGCAGGAGGAGAAGGGCAGATGATGATGAGGAGGAGGAGGAGGTGGAGGAGGAGGAAAGGGCAGATGATGATGAGGAGGATTCTTGGAGGAGGAGGAGGAGGAGGAAATGCAGGAGAAGAAGGAGGAGGAGGAGGATAGATGCGTTAAAGTAAACGGTGGAGATGCCTGCCGAAAGGAATTGGGCCATAGAGACGGTGGTGACTTAATAATAAGGAAAGAGAGAGGTAAAAAAGGAAGAATTTAAATGAAAAGGGGGGAGATGACTAATTTGGTAATTAAGTATAGAAAGGAGGAGGAGGAAGAAGAGAAAGTCGGACGGTACTTAAAACAATAATAATGATAATATTCGGCTTGGTAGATTTCTGATAAGAAGAAGAAGAAGAAGAAAAAGAAGAAGAAGAAAAGAAGAAGAGGATGAAAAAAGAAGAAAAGAAGAAGAAAAGTTGAAGAAAAAAAGAAGAAGGAAAAAAAGAAAAAGAAGGAAAGAAAAAGAAAAAAGAAGAAGAAAAGAAGAAGAAGAGTAGAACACAAAAGAAAAAAGAAGAAAAGAAGAAGGAAAGAAGAAGAAGAAAAAAAGAAGAAGAAAAAAGAAGAAGAAAAGAAAAAGAGGATGAAAAAAGAAGAAGAAAAGTTGAAGAAGAAAAGAAGAAGGAAAAAGAATAAAAAAGAAGAAAAAAAAAGAAAAAAAAAGGAAAAGAAGAAGAAAAGAAGAAGAAGGGAAGAACACAAAAGAAAAAAGAAGAAGAAAAGAAGAAGAAAGAAGAAGAAATGAAGAAGTAAAACAAAAAAAAAGAAAGAAAGAAAAAAAAAGAAGAAGAAAAAGTAGAAGAAGAAGAAGAAGAAAAAGAAAAAAGAAAAAAAAAAAAGAAAAGAAGAAAATTAATAAAAAAGAGGAAAAATTGTAAAAAGAAGGAAAAAAGAAAAAAAAAAAAAAAAAAAAAAAGAAAGAAATCTAAAAAAGATATTCCCAGAAGAACAATGAAGAAAAGAAGGAAAGAAGAAGAAGGAAGGAAGGATGGAAGAAGAAGAAGAGTAGAAGAAAAGGAAGAAAAAGAAGATTTTAAAAGAAAAGAAAGAAGAAAAGAAAGAAGAAGAAAAGAAAAAATGATATAGTCTAGTAATTTTTCTTTCAAAAAGCATATTTAAGAAATATTGAATGACGTTACTGTCACTTTCTTTTTGAGCGTCATTAAACAAATGTCTTCTCAGCCCCATCATTATTAAGGAGAGAGGAATATAAAAGAAGACAATGGTTGGCATTGCATTTAAATTTCTGAAGATCAAAGTCAGCTGACCTGGTCAGACATACTCTCGAAATAGGTGTAAATGGTTGTGTCCTCAGCATAGATACCAAGTTGAGAGATACTCATCAGGGAGTTCATTGGTGTAAATTAAGAACAAAGCAGGTTTGAAGGATAGAGCCCTTCGGGACCCTTGTATTTATAGAAAAATTCAGAAGACTGACCGTTCAGGACAACATTCCTTTCACGATTTGATGAGAAAGACTGAATCTGTTCAAAACTCCGTCCGGAAATAGCAAAGCATTTCAACTTATGAAGAAGAGCAGTATGCCACCGTCAATCACTTTCGAGATATACAAAGCAACAGCCCGAGCTTCGCCAGTTTTCTCTAAGCCATGCTAAACTCTTTCAGTAACAATTGCTCGTACACCAACAATTGACCTAGAGAAGCGAGCGCCATATTGCTTGTCTGAAAGAAGACCCTGATATGTGTGATGCTTAACCAATGCAGAGGTGGTTCTATTAGAAGAATGAAATGTTTAAATTCGAAAAACCCGATAGGCATGGAGCCAGCAACTGCACCTCTTAAAAATCTACGCTCTATGGGAATCAAACAACAGCATATTTTTAAAAAAAAACATTTCACTCAAATTAAGGCGATAAGGCCACTTTGACTCAAGAGGTACTGAGGGTGAAAGTAAATAAGAAAACGTTAGTGAGGACACAGAACAATAAAAGAAGCGTGGTCAAAAAAATAGCAGATGATGATTGACGTTGCAGTTAGTTTTTTTTTAAGAACCTGGTCGGCAGAAAGCGGGAAGTTAGAAAAGAGTCCAAAAGTCGAAAAGTATAAGAGAAGAAACTACTAGAATGTTGTGCTTGGCATAACAATAAACTACATCCGCGTCCTGGGTAAGACGATAAACTACACCCGCGTCCTGGGTATGACGATAAACTACACCCGCGCCCTGGTTATGACGATAAACTACATCCGCGTTAAAAATGGCGATAAACTACATCCGCGCCCTGGGTAAGGTTTTAAACTACATCCGCGTCAGGTAACTGATTTAAAAAATAAATAATAATAATAATAATAATAATAATAATAAGGCGTAGAAGAAGAAGAAAGTAGCTGTAAATAATAATAATAATAATAAAAAGAAGTAGAAGAAGAAAGTAGCTGTAAATAATAATAAGAAGAAGAAAAAATGTAGCTGTTAATAATAATAACAATAAGAAGAAGAAGAAGAAAGTAGCTGTGAAGAAGAAGAAGAAAGTAACTGTAAATAATAAGAAGAAGAAGAAAAAGAAGAAGAAAGTAGTTGTAAACAATAATAATAATAAGAAGAAGAAGAAGAAGAAGAAGAAGAAGAAAAAAAAGAAGAAGAAAACAACATATTTGAAAGGGAACTTCAAAATTAATAATAATAATAATGATAATAATGAGAAGTAGTTAAGGATGGGAAATGAAAGGGGTCAGAGAAGAAATGAAGGAAATGAATGTAGAGGTTAGAAATGAAGAAGGAAAATGTCTGAAAAAAGGAAACACGACAAAAAAATAAAATAGAGAAAAAGAAGAGGAAATAAAGAGAGAAAGTAAAGATGGCAAAGAAAGAGAGAAAAAAATGAAGAGGAAGGCAACACAGAAGAAGGCAAAATGGAAAAAAAGACAATCAAAGAAATAGACAAGGAAATAAAAAAAGAAGAAAGAGGGAGGCAAAAGATGAAGGAAGAAAAAAAAATAGTTGTAAATAATAAGAAGAAGAAAAAGAAGAAGTAGCTGTAAATGATGTGAAGAAAAAGAAAAAAATTGTTGTAAATAATAATAGCAAGAAGAATAAGAAAAAGAAGAGAACGTAGCTCTACATAATAATGATGATAATAATAATAATAATAATAATAATAATAGACCCGGTTACGGTTACGATGGTATGAACACCAGCCAGACCCGGTTACGGAGATAGGACCTGTTACAATTCTATGGGACTACACAATACACACTGACAGAACAATCAAGGCCAACCGGCCAGATATTGTTATTAAAGACCACAAACACAAACGGTGCCTCCTTATTGATATGGCAGTCCCTGCTGACTGCAATGTATCTTTGAAGATATTCAAAAGTTGTCAAAATACAAGGACCTTGAAATAGAAATCTCGAAAATGTGGCATATGGGAACATCAACAATCCCTGTTGTAGTTGGAGCCCTAGGACTGGTTGGAAAAGATTGCAGTAGACTAATTGAAGGGATTCCTGGAAGTCCATGCCTCAAGGAGATACAAAAAATTGTTCTGACAAGTACAGCCCACACTTTACGAAGGGCTTTATCTATGTAATTTTTTTTTTTTTTTTTTTTGTCAGTGGAAAGTGTCATGATGCCATTTCTAACCTTAGGGTCCCTGGGCGGGACCCGGAAAGAAATGTGTAAACGCCAGAAATCAAAAGAAAAAAAATAAAAATAATAATAATAATAATAATATATTTAATAATAATAAAATAAAAACCCCAGATTTTTAATATAAATATTTCATGAAATGGAGAAAAAAAACAAAAAGAATAATAATAACAATTTAATAAAATAATAATAATAATAATAATAATAATAATAATAATACTCGATACCTTGGATAAAGGCAAAATTAAAAATATAGTAAATTATTATTTAATTAATTAGTAGTAGTAGTAGTAGTAGTAGTAGTAGCATTTTATTAAACAAATACAGGCCAAACTTTTTTAAATAATAGTAATACATATATTTACTACGTTACTTTACCCCAGGTCTTGAGTAAAAGATTGTAATCAACAGAAAGTAATAATAATAATAATAATAATAATGCAATTTAGTCCCTTTTATTATTTTCTCATGTCAGATGAAATTGAATTTGGTTTGCCTCAGGATTAAAAAAAAAATCAACTCGGAATATATTCTTCATCGAACTGATCCTCGCCAAAAGCAATGAAGTCTGAAATCAAAACTAAACAAAAAGAAAAGAAGTCATCATTCATATTACATCAAGTGTTTTGAGAGCATAAAATTAAATGGCGATAGTCCATTTTTTTTTTTTTTTGGAAAAAAAAAAAAAATAAAATAAACAAGATTTAAGACATCATTTTTCTCCCTCCTTCACACAATGGTGTATACGGTAATTCAATCGTTTGAATCATTAAAAAAAGATTTGCATAAGAAAGTGAGAAATATGAAAATACAAACAAAAAACAATATACAACTAAGTTTAAAATAAATCAATATACAAGACAATACAATATACGCACGTACACAAGACCATACAGCAAATATAATGCACAACAGTATAAAACTTTATACGCAATATATATTTTAAAATAATAAACATTTGTTATAATAAATAAGAAAAATATATGAGCAGCACCTGTGACTCTCCCACCGCCGAAATGTAGCTTCCCTATGATTTATCCATAAATCTTTCCTCTGAGGTACATATGGGAACTAGCTAGGACTTCATAGAGACTCTGAGGTATTACAGTGGTTGTAGTAATAATGGTAAGTAAGATTGTGTTGTTTTGGTGTAAGGAAAATGTATGCTTGGGTCAGTAATGGCGGCAGATTGAAGATATGTATTTTTTGGCCTTGTGCCATATAAAAAATAAATTTAAAAATAAATATATATATTTTCCTCTATTAACCTAGACTTTATGAATTTGAACGGAATACTAGATTACTGGTAGGGTGTCATCATTTTACAATTAAAATGACTCGATGTGACTAAAAGTTTAAATTTAACAATTTCTTCCAACATTCTTCTTTTGAACAGGAATTTTCTTAAATCAATTTGCATAAATGGAAAACTTTGGTCTTCAAAAATTTAAATGCAATGTCAATCGTTATCTTTAGTTTTCTTAATTCCTGTTCTTTTATTGTTCGCTCTCCTTAATAGTATTTTTTTCTTAGAATTATACGACTCGGTAGCCCCCTTTGCGTCTTAGTGGTTTTATTGCCATGCTTCATTAAAAATGAAATACTAAATGTACACATAATACAATGTAATACCAGCGGGCGTATAAGTTAGAAGCATGTAGAGCATTATCGCTATGTGTTTTTTTTTGTTTTGTTTTTTTTAATTCAAATCTTCGGACCAATTTTAGTAAACGCAATTGTAAAGAACATCAAGGATTTTAAAGAAAACAAGTCGACGTCAAAATATGATTAGAATTCTGATGTTAGGTAAAATTTTTTGATAAGTGCAACAATTATATAAAATTTTAAGTTTCAAAATATTTCAAACATGAATGTGTCAGTTCAAATTCGTTTGAATGCTGTTTTTAAAAAACTGGTTTAAATTTAAAAAAAATGGAAATTTGAGTTAATTTAAAAAAAAACAACAACAATGAATTACAAATAGATAATATCGGCAAAGAGAAGATATATATATATATATATATATATATAGGTGTTTCAATAACTCATGGACCGATTTTAAATGTGAATTAAGTTTAAGCGTCTAATATTCCAGTTTCCATTTGGATAAATTTTGAGCAGATATTAGTCAAATAAAGAGAATCATGGAAAATTGTTTTTAAAAACAGTAAAAATCGACTTTCCTAACTGAAATTTTCCTCTCAAATCGAAATCGGTTAAAATCTATCATTCTATTATGACGGTTCCGTTCTCTATACAGGTTTTTAAATTGTCAAAAGGAACATATTTTCTGTGAAAATTTTAAAGATATTTCAGTATTCTTAAATGTTGTTAATACTGTTTATTATAAACAGAACATTTACTTAAATATTCTTATCTATAAAAAGAATGTATAAACATAAAATGTCTTTATATATATATATATATATATATATATATATATATAATATATATAAAATGGGTGTTCCAAAAACTTGGATTTTTTAAATGTCGATTAAGTTTAAGCATCTAATGATTCAATTTTTTTCAGATTTAACATCTTAAAGTCTTTTTCAAAATTTCAACCATGGGAAATGAACAATCAAACAACGATGTTATTTTAAATGAAACCTATTACCAAAATAGATTTTGTTGAAATGCAATAAATTTGTAGCTTGCATCATCTAAAAACAGCGAATTAAATTTGGCCAAAACGATCGTGCGACTTGAAAATTTAGATTTTTTCCTTTGGGTTCTAGGCATTAATTTAGGAAGGTCTATCAAAAATAAACAAGACAACAACAATTCAACAACTGGAGGATGAGATAAATTTAAGGCATATTAGTGAGATTGTCCATAACTGTTAAATATAAATATCAAAAATTTTGACCATATGTTGCAGGTATGTCGCCGAAGACTTGGCGGAAATTTTTTGACCGATTTATTTTTTATATAATTACACATTTTAAAATAACATGATCCAATGAGAAATAAAATCCCACGAATAACATTGATTTTGATTTATCATATGATTTTGATCTGTCTTAATGAAACACCCTTCATTATCTATCTATCTATCTTTTTTATATGTTCATATCTATCTATCTTTGATAACACTTTTAGCGTTTGGCTAAACAATTATTTACTGATTTTAGTTTAAAAATAGAAATTTTTAAGGCGAAAAGAATATCACGAAAGACATACTGAGCGATGTTATTTTTTTAATAAAAATTTTTATTTTCATTTGCGAAGAAAATATTTTAAAAGCAGAAGATAATGAAAATTTTCTTTAAATAAATCGTCAGAATTAATTTATCCATGACGCGGCAGAATTTTTCAACAATCTGCCCATGGCAATGTTGAACTTGTTGAAAAATACATATCCGGAATTTTAGAATTGAATAATCGGAAATTGGTTTTTTGCATTTATTTTTTAAAAGGATCAAATGAAGCAACATAAAAAAAAGGCAAAGGAAGAATCAAAAGGAAAAGAATAAACCAAAAATATATATCAAAAAGAGGAGATATCAATTTGAATTTTGAAGAGCGTGGAACCACCTTTTATTGGACCTTGCCATGATAAAAGTTTGTTACCTGTACATTTATTGTGTTGCTACGACAAGAATTTAAAAGAAGACGTCGAGGAAGAAAAAAATTACATTCGAATCCCAGATAATCATTATGATAAAAAATCTTGTTAAAAGTTCAGATGACATCCAGTAAAGAAATACTTAATGACCACAGTATTTTCATTTGGGGTTTCTAATATTCAAAAAAAGAAATTTTGAAAAAAATAAAGATTCTTTTTTTCTGAAGAAAAATATCAGATAATTTTGTTTTGAAAAATAATCTAACACTGTTTTATCAATGTTTGAGAAAAGTATGAAATTTTGGCGTGAGCGATTGGTGAAAATATAAAAAAATTCTAATAAAGAAGGAAACCTGTTGACGTTTCTGAGGGGATTGGTTTTAAGATACCAAATGAGAAAACCAAATTTGGGAGGACAAAAATTCAAGAAAGA